TGATGCCAGTACATATCCATAACCACCCTATTTTTCCAGAGTGGAGCCAGCTCGTTCCAAATTAAAAAGAGAAAATTTTCAGTAATTAAACCCTGGATTCCATCTGGAACGACTGTCAACAAGACCAGTCACAGAGAAGATGGACCTGCGTCTGCTAATTGTCTTCTGTTGCTTTGGAATGCTGCCCTCTCGTATTGATATCCTGATTATTCTGGTTGAAAATGGCCCCGGCGCTTCCACAACGGGTGCCGTGACAGCCTGAAGTTATGATCAAGCTAATTATAAAAGGTTTAATTTAGCCTTCAGTTCTCTGCTTTCCTCCATCCCACATGTCCCTTTGCTTGCTAATATGCTTCTGTAGGGAGCCTGGCACAGCTACATGTTCTCATGAAGGCATTTTGTTCTCACCCAGGCTTCCCAAAACCATGAAGCTGACTCCTTGTCCCAGTAAAACCCCTTTTATTTAGGTTAAAGGGAATTCCTCTCCAGCAAAGTCCTGGCCAATGGTCTTTCAAGAGATCTCACAACTACAGACCTTGATCAGACTGGGAGAGATGCCAGGCCAATAGCTTCCAAATGCCTTGCTGTAGCAGACAATACTTGGCAAGGAGTCAGGAACAGATCTTCAGCATAATGAATTGAACTAATTGTCTCCTGCAAACACCACTCCCCTTTTGCTCCTCTTTATTCCCTATGGGAGGGGCCATTCACTGTCCACCTATGCCTTTACTCCCGAGTCAACCCTTTTTCCTTAGCTGTTCCCTTCTCCTGGCAGCTCTGTGCATGCACACACTGGGAACAGGCTCCAGCTGTTCTTCTTCTCCACTGATCTCCAACTCTGAAGGCAGCTGATAACTGTCAAACGGCCCTGGCCCCATCTCTGCCTCTGACGCAGAGCCCTCGTCCGATTTTTCCCCAGACTCCAGGACTGGCCCATGTCCCTCCCCAACCTCCTCACTGTCCGAGTCTGCCTCCAACTCCGCTGGCCACTGGCCAGCCACAACAGATCCAGAGATTGGTGAAATATTGAAAAGAAGCAATAATCAAGGAAATGCAAGGTTCCTCCCCAATTTAAAGAAGTAACATTAAGCAAGCCTAAGTTGAGTCCGATTGTTGAGTTGGCTCCCCTGTTGTCCACCGTCTCCTGGAGTTTCTCCAAATTCACATCCACTGCATAACAGAGTCGGAAGGGACCTTGGAGGTCTTCTAGTCCAACCCCCTGCTTAGGCAGGAAACCCTACACCACTTTAGACAAATGGTTATCTAATCTTCTCTTTAAAAAGAGATTCTTAAAAGGCATTAGTGACCCTATCTAACCATCTCATCCTGTGATGAGCCGGGGCGTGACCCAAAACTAACAAAGTCACGAAAGTAGAATAAATTCCCTTTAATGCCTCCAACCTAGCCCCCAATGTCCAATTATCCTCGGCTGGAGAACAAACTCTTCCAAAAAATAGTCAGAAATGCAATCAGAACCCAAAGTAAAGATAAATAGAAATTAAAAAATCAACATAAACCACACTGAAGTCATTAACATGGCAGGCCAGGATAATAAATTTCAGACTTTGAATAAATTGAACAGATAATGCAGCACCCACAGTTGGGAGGATGCCAAAATCCAGATAAGCCTCAACAAAGATAATGCAAGCTTTGCTTCCAGCAAGGAGCTGTGTGCAAATGCCCCACTTATATCCTGTTCTCCCAGCTGCAACTAATGAAAGGGATCAGGGCCTTTTTCTCTCTCATAAGCCGCATTGCTCCCTTCTCCGTTCCTCCCTGCGTGCCCTAGGATGAAGAAGGGGTGGGCCTGGCTCTTCCTCTGAATGCCCAGCCAGACTGTGCCCTTCCCTCGTTTTTTCCACAGCCACCGGATCCACACTCGTACTCCCTGTCAGCTGCTCAATCTCCCCCTCAGAATCAGACTCCAACAAGGGCATGACACATTCTCTTCTTTGAAGTTGTTTCACTTCTCATCCAAGAAGCTTCTTCAGCTCTGACCGGATGTTGGGGAAGGGAATGATTTACTTCAAGGTTGAGTTGCAGGTATGAAGTTGCTAATAGGTCCTTACCTGGAAGCCATTTTGCTTCTTAGACTGCTTGGAAGGCATACATTTGCATAGTTTAAACCCCAAAGAGGGTTTAGTTTAGTCTGAGCTTGCTGTAATGAGGTTAGGGCAATTCTGTGGTTAGGCCTTACAAAAATCTTACAAAAATCAGGCCTTTCTGAAAGACACGTGTTTGAGACAGCAACCCATTAACACAACCGGTGGGACATACGCGCCACAATTCATGATAAAAGTGCAAGACATAGTGGAAATAAAGCCCCCAAAATGCTGCTTCCTCACAAGTTCCATCAACGTACATTGCGGATAATGAAAACAATCGGCCTGAAACTCCACTTGAGCCAAGGAAATGTGCAAAAACATGTTTCCTACAGCTACAATAATATGGCATAATAATGAGATAAGGTGCAATCTCACAACTGGCATTGCATTTATGCCTTCCAAGAAGCCAGTAATTTTTATTTCCTGAAAAGCCACACACAAACTGTCTCGTATGTTTCCAGTTCTCCTAAGATATGTCAACAGGGCAACTTATTTTATCCAGGTAAGATGAAAATCTAGAACTTTGTCTCACCTACAAGAGTTATAGGTAAGAGAAGTTAGGATCGATTAAGGGGAACCAATTCTAGATTTTGCTCCCGGCCAGAGATAAAACTTTCAATTTCTTTATCAACATTTTTACTAAGATGATTTTTGTTTTTTTAAAAAATGAAAACTATAGTTACATAAGAAAGACCCAGATTTACTGACATTTAATGTTAAAAGAATGCATTTCACTCCAGTTGATGGAAGTTAGTTTAGCTCTTAAAAGTCTTTTGGGCATGGTTTTTTTTCCAGGAAAATAATCTATGGCTCGCAGAACAGACCTGCAATAATTTGGAAGACACTTTAATAAAATGACCACTACAACCCTGTGTTGAGATTTTTTGCAGCCCAGATTCAGGAATTTGATCCTCCCTCTGAGATAACTGAGTAAACAACTACAACATTGAATCCTCACTGTGAGCTCAGGTACTCCTTGCCTTACGACCACAATTGAGGCCAGTGTTGATGTTGCTAATTGAAACATCCGTGAAGTGAGTTTTGTCCCATGTTGCGACTTTTCCTATCGTTCCTGTTGTTAAGTGAATCATTGCATCTGTTAAGTTAGTAACATGGTCGTTAAGGGAAGCCGGATTCCCCCCGGTCGCAAAAGCAGATCCCGTGACCCTGGGACACTCGCACCATCATAAATATGAACTGGTAAGTGTGACAAATGGCCGTGAGTCATTTTTTCCCGGTGCCATTGTCTCTTGGAATGGTCACTAAATGAACTGTTGTAAGTAGAGAGCTGCCTGTCCTGTAAGATAAATCCTCTCTTTCACAAGGGAGAATAGACTGAGAAGAATCACTGGGTAGAATGATGAGTATATTTGTCTCTCGGTGTGTTGTGGTTCGCCAGCAGCCTGTGCAGACAGAGGTGGAATCGGACAGTGGGGAAGAACGGGGATCAGTCCAGGAGTCTGGAGAGGCCTCGGACCAGGATCCTGCATCCGATGCAGAGATGGGACCAGGACCATCTGGGAGTGGGGTGCTGACTCTGGAGCCTCTGGAGTCTGGTAGCAGCGAGGCAGAGGAACAAAGGGAGCCTGTTCCCAGTGCACATGTGCACAGAGCTGCTAGAAGGCGAGAGCAGCTGAAACAAAAGGGGCAACTTGGGAGTAAGGCTGGGAGGTGATTGCCCCTCCCATAAGGGATAAAAGTCAGGCCTAGATGACGAAACCTTTGCAGGAAGCAAAGTCGTTTGTTTGGTTCAGATTCATTCTTGAAGCTCTTTGTACTTTGGTTGGTTTCTTTTCTAGTTCATTGGACACTTCTGTTATTGGCAGCACTTCACAGGGAAGAAAGGTGGGTGCTTATCTCGAGGGACAGTTTGAGATTCATTACCAGCTGGGAATGAAAATAATTCCCAGTGTTGCAATAAAACAAGACTTGTTTTTAAAATTAAGCATGTGGATAATTATGGTATCAGAAGCCTTGGTCAGGACATAGTAGAGTAACAGAATTGTGGATCATTTTGGAAGAAGATCTTGATCAGAAATGGAGAAAGAAGAAGCATCAAAGTCAAATTTTAGTGTAAACAAGAAGGATCCACTTTCGATCTGCTGCACAGATATTTCGAGCCCACTTGCCCTCGTGAATTTAATCTTTGATACTAAAGATTTAGGAAAGAGATCTTTCTCTCCTTAACCTCATCCTTGGTTTTAATTTTAGATTCGAGGCCGTTCTTTGGAATTGCCAGTTGCATCCCCCTTTTTAAGAGGACAGGAGCAAAATCCAGAAGGAAGGCTATCAATTCAATTTGCGACTCTCTCATTGAATTGAGGATTCTGTGCTCCTGTCTTTAGTGGGGGAGCGATATTCCTAAACACAAAGAATTTAAAACTGTGGATTCGTTGCACTGGATTTTAGGAATCGGATGGCAAAAATGCTGCAAAAATTTGCACCGGTCTTCCTTAAAAAGCAAAAATAATGATCGATGGTGGATGAAGGAGATGGCTTCGCTCATCCCTTAAAGCCAAGGAATTGGTTGGAGAGTTATTTACATCATTTGGCTAGTCAAAAGAGCACAACGACACCATGCACAAACATGACAAATGGCGTTAGCCAGCTGTATATGGTAAAGCTTAAAGGTTCCCCTCGCACATGCGTGCTAGTCGTTTCCGGCTCTCGGGGGCGCTGCTCATCTCCATTACAAAGCCGAAGAGCCAGCGCTGTCTAAAGACATCTCCGTGGTCATGTGGCTGGCAGGACTAAATGCTGCTGAAGGCACACAGAATGCTGTTACCTTCCCACCAAAGTGGTCCCTATTTTGCTACTTGCATTTTTTAAACATGCTTTCGAACTGCTACGTTGGCAGAAACTGGGACAAGGAACGGGAGCTCACTCCGTGACTTGAACCGCCGAACTGATGGACAAGCTCAGCGTCTTAGCCAGTGAGCCTGGGGTCAACCCAAAAGGAACTTTTAAAATCTGCTGCACGTTGTGCTCACCAACAATGGCTGGAGTTAGAACATTTATTTATCTTTTTTTTAGAATGGCATCCAAACAACTGGACTGATTTTTGGCTTCTTCCCTGCCGGCCTCTGGAGAAAAACAGATATATATCTTTAAAGAAAAAATAAAATAATCTCAACTGAAAAGTGAGAGCATCGACACAGATCCTCCCTTGTTGAATTTGCTGGTTTATTGAGCAAAGAGGAAGATGTATGGCCTGCTTTGCATGATCTGTAAATGGGAGGTTAAGCCCCACCCTGGCTCCTTTCGATCGTAAAACGCTGTTACAGCTTGTTCTCGGAGCAAAACCACTTCGCATTTTGGCACTCCGTTGAAAAAACTGGGGCACAATGTTCAAGCTCTTCCGCCTTGTGATCCAGGGAAGAACAGGGATGAAAGGCTGTGTCACAATCCTGGGGTGGTTTATCAGTGGGGGGACGAGTGATGGTTCACGTGAGGAGCGTTGGAGCCCAAAAAGCCCAGCCTCTGTTTGTTTTTCCTTTGTTCTGTCATCTAAGGAGGAAGGAGGAGGCAAAGACAAGATCAGTGGATGGCTTTTCCAAAAGAAAAGAAAAAAGAAAAAAAGAAAAAGAAAGCAAAAGAGGCAGAGAGTTATATAAATGTTACCCGCTGAGGTTGTCTTTTAAAAGTGTGTTTATTTGTGGAGGTCCTTAATGTTCTCTTTTCTGGCAGACATTTCATCACCCAACTAGGTAACATCATCAGTGCTGGAAGGGTGGGTGTGTGGAGAGGAGGAGGAGGAGGAGGAGGAGGACTGTGGGGTCCTTGGCATTCTCTGAGTTCAGTTGTTTTCTTGCAGACTTTTCATGACCCAACTAGATAACATCATCAGTGCTAGAAGGGAGGAGGTGTGAGGAGGAGGAGGAGGAGGAGGAAGAGGAAGAGGAAGAGGAGGACAATGACTGTGGGGTCCTTGGCATTCTCTGAGTTTGGTTGTTCTCTTGAAGACTTTTCATGACCCAACTAGATAACATCATCAGTGCTAGAAGGCAGGAGATGTGTGGGGAGGAGGAGGAAGAGGAAGAGGAGGAGGAGGAAGAGGAAGAGGAAGATGAGGACAATGACTGTGGGGTCCTTGGCATTCTCTGAGTTTGGTTGTTTTTTTTGCAGACATTTCATGACCCAACTAAGTAATATCGTCAGTGCTAGAAGGGAGGAGGAGGAGGTGGTGGAAGTGGTGATGGTGTGTGGAGTGGGTGCTTCATCACTGGAGGCTTTTAAGAAGAGACTGCATAGTCACTTGTCTGAAATGGTACAGGGCCTCCCGCTTGAGCACGGGGCTGGACTAGAAGACCTCCAAGGTCCCTTCCAGCTCTCTTCCTATTCCCGCTTCTAAGCGCCAAGGCTGCTCACCTGTTCTTTAAGCTCAGCGAGTTGGCCGGAGAGCTGCTTGACCAGAATCATGGTGGACTCCAGCCTGTCTTGCAGGTTCCTGATTTCGTTCTGCTCATTGTCCCCTTCGTTGCTGACCAGAGACATGGCTCTCATCCGAGGAAACCACTCTAAGTTTTTTTCCTGCAGGAGACGGAAACCGATAGGATGTTAGCTCAACGACGTGTTCTCTAAGGAGTTTCCGAAGGCTTCCACAAGGTTTCTTGAGAAGGAGGTACTAAGCTGGCAGGAATAGCCAATACTCTAGAACAGTGGTGGCTAACCTTTTTGGGCTCCTGTGCCAAAAATTGTGCGCCTGCTTGCACACTCGCACTCGCGTGCCAGCACCCAGAAGGTAATGCATGCAGCCCCCCATGCCCCCTACACATGCACGCATAATCCCCACCCACCCACCCCCGCCATCCCCTTACCTGCGCCTGCGCCTCACAGCTGATTTTCGGCCGGTTTGAGACCTTTTTCTGCCCCCCAAAGGCTTCAGGAAGGCTTCTGCAGGCTTTGCAGGCCGAAAAGTAGCCCCGTTAAGTCACTTCCGGTATTTTCGGAAAAACAGGAAGTGATGAAATGGGGCTAGTTTTCGGCCTGCAAAGCCTGCAGAAGCCTTCCTGAAGCCTTTGGGAGGCCAAAAAAGGCCTCGAACCAGCTGAAAATCAGCTGTGAGGCGCACGCATGCCCAGTGAGGTAAATTTGCCTGTAGCTCGTGTGTCAGCACAAATGGCTCTGGGTGCCACCTGTGGCATGCGTGCCATAGGTTCGCCATCATGGCCCTAGAAGATAGGCTCAAGATTTAACCTTTAACCTCAAACTATGCACTATTGACCTCACCCCATTCCTAAGAGGTCTGTAAGGGGCGTGCATATGTGCACCATCGTGCCTCCCGTCCCTGTCCTATTGTCCCCATTTATTCGTACCTATTTCCTGTATTCTTACTCATGTTGATGTTTATACCTATTATCTTGTAAGCGATTGACAAATCAAACCAAATCAAATAAATATATAAATATCTAGATGGATCTTGACAGACTTGAACCCTGGGCCCTATCTAACAAAATGAACTTCAATGTAGAGAAAAGTAACATCCTACACTTAGGCAAGAAAAACCAAAAGTACATATATAGACTGGGTGAAGCCAGGCTCAATAGCAGGAACTGTGAGAGAGATCTTGGAGTCTTAGTGGACAATTATCTAAATAGGAGCCAACAGTGTGAGAGGCAGCGAAAAAAGTCAATGCAATCCTAAATTACATTAATAGAGGGATACAATCAAGATCAAGGAGGTACTAATACCACTCTATAAAGCCTTAGTAAGACCACACCTAGGGTACTGCATGCAATTTTGCTCACCACACTATAAAAAAAGATGTTGAGGCTCTAGAAAGAGTGCAGAGAAGAGCAACCAGGATGATTTAGGGGACTGGAGGATAAAACATACAAGGAACGGTTGCAGGAACTGAGCCTGGCTAGTCTAGTGAAGAGAAAGACCAGGGGAGACAGGAGAGCAGTCTTCCAATATTTGAAGGGCTGCCACAGAGAGGAGGAAAGGGTCAAGCTATTATCCAAGGCACCTGAAGGCCAGACAAGGAATAATGGATGGAAACTGAACAAGGAGAGATTCAACCTGGAAATAAAGAGACATTTTCTGACAGAATAATCAACCCATGGAACAAAAGTTGCCTTCAGAAGTTGTGGGAGCTTCATCCCTGGAGGTTTTTAAGAAGAGATTGGACTACCATTTGTCAGAAATGGTGTAGGGTCTCTTGCTTGGGCAGGGGGTTGGACTAGATGACCTCCAAGGTCCTTTCCAACTCTGTTAATCTGTTAAGGAGAAGAACTTTAAAAGAAACCTTGGGTGGGATCTATTGAAGTGATCTGCAGGAATTAAAAAGAGCAAGGAAGAAGCAAAAGGGACATTTAAAACATCTCTGTGCTGTCTCTCGTTGCAAGAATTTTAGTTCCTTCCTGTGCTACTTAAACATACTATTAATAAAGAAAAACTCACTGAAAGCAATTCCAGTATTTTAATTTTCTTAGGAATTATCCTGTGACGTTGGCCTTGGAGCAGATTTAGAAGGATACCTTTTTTTAAAAAAAAAATGAAATCTGTTTCTCTTACTGCTAAACGTGATGAGAAAAAGTGACATTATTTTCAAAATAATTGGACCAAATATTGTGGCTCTTTTAATGAGGAGCTTGCAAGCAGATGGTATCATTCCTACAACATGGGCTCGGAGAATATCTGTTAACTTTTGGAGAGGAGCCATTTGTTTGGAAATGAAATGCCAAGGAAAACAATATTTTTTTAATCAAGTGAGCGGATATTGTGGTGCATCAAACCCATTAATCAAATGGTGTTATTTTACTTAAAGAACATTATCTGTAGAGAATCCATAGCACACAGCATGCACGTGCAGTCGCCCTTCCAAAATGTGGCCTAAGCTTTACCAGCTTAGTCAGCAGACATGCCACGCTCTGCTACCAATGAACTATAGAAAGAGCCAACATCTTTAACACATTCTTCGGCTCAGTATTTGTAAACAGCAATGGACCATGCCCAGCATTTCCTAGCCGAACCACAGACAACTACAATGATCTAATACATATTGATTTTACAGAAGACAATGTTGAAAAAGCACTGTGCAATCTAAAACCATCTCTATCTATTGGACCGGATGGAATATGTGCCTACTTCTTAAAAAAGCTATCCACTGCCATAGCCGAACCTCTAAGCATAATCTTTGAAAAATCTTTCAGGACCAGCACCTTGCCTAACCTATGGTCACAAACTGCGGTCATCCCCATCTTCAAAAAGGGAGACCCCAGCCTAGTTGAAAATTACAGACCAATCTCCTTATGCTGCATCACCTGTAAAGTCATGGAATCAATTATTAACCAATCCATTATCCTCCACTTAGAGACAAACAACCTACTCTCTAATAAACAATTTGGTTTCAGAAAAAAACTGTCCTGTAATCTGCAACTCTTACACTGCAAAAACATATGGACTACACAACTCAATCAGGGCAAAGCAATAGACGCAATTTACATAGACTTCTGTAAAGCCTTTGATTCAGGGGTACACGACAAACTATTCCTAAAACTAAAATCTTATGGTATCTCTGGACAACATCCATCTCACAGCTACTGCTATTGAGGTAGCCCCTACTCCCGTGATGGCGAACCTATGGCATGTGTGCCACAGGTGGCACGCAGAGCCATTTATGCCTGCACGCGAGCTGCAGGCAAACTTACCTCACTGCGCATATGCGTGCCTCACAGCTGATTTTCGGCTGGTTGGAAGCCTTTTTCAGCCTCCCAGAGGCTTGAGGAAGGCTTCTGCAGGCTTTGCAGACTGAAAACTAGGCCTGTTTTGCCACTTCCTGTTTTTCCGGAAATCCAGAAGTGATGAAACAGGCCTAGTTTTCGGCCTGCAAAGCCTGCAGAAGCCTTCCTCAAGCCTCTAGGAGGCTGAAAAAGGCTCAAACTGGCTGAAAATCAGCTGTGAGGTGCAGTGCAGGTGAGGTGGTGGGTGGGGATTGCGCATGCATGCGTAGGGGGCATGGGGGGTGCATTGCCTTCTGGGTGCTGGCACACGAGTGTGAGTGTGCAAGTGTGTGCACAATTTTTGGCACAGGAGCACAAAAAGGTTAGCCACCACTGCCCTACTCTATACCTGTGCCTTTGGTTTTTCTTTCCTAACTGTAAAGTTTATTTTACTCACTACTGAATTTCATTTTGTTAGATAGGGCCCAGTGTTCAAGTCTGTCAAAATCCATCCGGATCTTGAGCCTATCTTCTTGGGTGTTGGCTATTCCTGCCAGCTTGGTGTCGTCTGCAAATCCGGTGAGTTCCCTTCTATTCCCTCATCTAAATTGTTTATGAAGATCTTAAAGAATACTGTCTGTTGTTGTTTTTGGCTGTCAAATATTTTTAAATGCATAAATGACACTTTTTAATCTTCCTGGGCCACCCACTTATGTATATTACAAAGGTTATGGATCCTTCTCATATTTTTTTCTTTTTACTCCATTGATGGTTGAAAGATAGCCCTCTTCAGTTAAGAATTAATTACCCGTGTGATAAAGGACATGATGTCAATTGTCTCATGAACATCCTGTTTGTGCATTAACCTGAATACTTAATAAAGCAGGTCCATTTCAAGGAGAAATATTGGATTAATCAGAAATCTGGCATTTAGGCTGTTTTCTGCAGGTACATCTGCAGAATTCTTGATCTGGGAGGTGGAATTTATTTCATTATTATTTTTTAACTCCTTCATGACAATACTTTTCAAAACTTTATCCATGCTTTCTCAGTTTATAGATAATGTCATTATCTTCTCGTTGAGCCAAAGGCTCAATTTTTTTTAAAAAAATACCACACAGTATTTCTCATTTGCATTAGATGGCTTGAAATGCCTTTGCTATTACAGCACTCAGAATAACTTTATTGCCACCTTGAGTGTACATGAATAGGCATACATTAAAATGAAACTTCATTGCATACCGGTAGTCCTTGATGTAGGGCAATTCATTTAGTGACTGTTTAAAGTTACAACAGCATTGAAAAAAGGGACTTATGACCAGAGATCTAACTCTAGCCTGCTGTGAATTCCTTATCTCCCGCTATTTTCCCTTGGCTGTCAGTAGTTCAGATTCTCGTAGGGAACTCAAGCTTGCAATAAATCTTGCAACAGCAGTATCCCAACAGTCACGTGATCAAAATTCAGACAGGTGGCAACTGACTCATATTTATGATGGTTGCAGTGTCCCAGGTGTGTGTGTGTCACATGATCCACTTTGGCGACCTTCTGACAAGCAAAGTGGATGGGAAAACCAGATTCACTAAATGACTGTGTTCCTAACTTAACAACTGCACTAACAATTCACTTAACAATTGTTGCAAGGAAAAACTTACTTAACAAATATCGCGCTTTGCAATGAAAATTTGGGGCTCACTTGTGGTCGTAAGATGAAGATATCCTACAGTTAAGGATGAATATATTCCAGATGTTCCTGGAAGGACCAATTTTCTTGCATCACAAACCACAGCAAAATAGGACTCACCGCAATCATTTGGGCCACATAACTTTCAGGTCCAGTATATTCCGTTGGGTCTTTCACTCTGACCAGAACGATAAAATACAGATAGTGCCACATGTTGTGTTCTGACTTGATGTGTTCCTCGAATGAAACCGTCTTGTTGTCAAACTTGTCTCGTTCAAGCCCTGCAAAACAAACAAACAAACAAAAAAAGGAGAAATTCACAAGAACTTTTTCAGACATTAAAGCCAGAATTTCCAAGCTTGGCATCTTTAAGACTTGTGGACTTCAGTTCCCAGAATTCCTCAGCAGAGTTGGCTGAGGAATTCTGGGAGTTGAAGTCCACAAGTCTTAAAGTTACCAAGCTTGGAGCCCTCCTGCATTAAAACTCCCTTAAGAAATGAGCAGACAAAAATCCTACAACAGGTAGTCCTTGACTTAGAAAAGAAAAGAGGGGAAAAGAGAGAAGGGAAGAGAAGAGAATGCAAACTAGAGTAGAGTGGAGTGGAGTGGAAGGGAAGGGAAGAGAATGCAGAAGGGAAGGGAAGGGACTGGAAAGGGAGAGGAGAGGAGAGGAGAGATCAGAACAGAATAGAACAGAACAGAACAGAAGAGAGCTAAATTAATGGAAATTAATTGATGGATGGAAATTGATCATGGAGAAATTCAATCTGGGAATAAGGAGAAATTTCCTGACAGTGAGAACAATCAACCCATGGAACAGAAGTTGCCTTCGGAAGTTGTGGGAGCGCCATCACTTGAGACTTTCAAGAAGACATTGGACTGCCGTCTGTCAGAAATGGTGTAAGGTCTCCTGCTTTGGCAGGGGGTTGGACTAGATGACCTACAAGGTCCCTTCCTACTCAGTTAATCTATGTAATTAATCTATGTATGCCTTTAAAAAAAAAAACCTTAACGACAAGATGCAAATCCTATGAATACATACCGCAGATGAAACAGGTTGTCTTTAAGATCTCTTCTTTCTTTTGCTTTTCACTCCTGAGATCTGCAAAGGTATCGATGATGACTCCGAAAATGAGATTCAGCACGATAATGATGACGATGAAATAAAACAGGAGATCATAAACCACCCGAGCAGCAAACAGCGGCTCCTTCAAAGAAACGGCAATTTTATTTAGTTTTAGGGCTGTAGGTTGAGGGGACCTACCGAGATCGACCGAAGAAAATGCTCACCTCTTTGGATGGCTTCCGAAGGACGTCCCCCACGCCTCCGCCATTCCTCAGCCCCTGGTTCAACACAGTCACAATACACATCAACAAAGTGTCGCAGGTTCTCTCCATCCCGTCCTTGTCGCCGTCTTCACCTGTGGGGGTATCGTAAGGTAGGAGTTGCCAACTTTTTGGACCTCAGGGACCACCAAACTCATAATTTTAAATCCCATGGACCAGAGATCCTGGGAAAATCCCCAAAAAAGTCTGCAGGAAAATTCCCGACCCCGTTTTCCTACCAATCGATCATTCTTTATTTGGGATCACAGGATACCGTGTCCAGCTCTGTTCTCGGAGGGGGGGGGGGGGGGAGAGAGAGAGAGAGAGAGAGACTTTTGGCTTCATGCAAGGAAAGCAGCAGAAGCAGCAGAAGTCTTTCTTTCTCTCCCCCAAACTCCGCCAGAAATGAGTCTTTGTGAGACTTGTCATATTGGTGCAGCCTCTTGAAGAAGGAGGCCTTGCAGGGTCCCAAAGACCCATTTCTGGTGGAATTTGGGGGAGAGAAAGACAGACTTTTTCTGCTTTCCTTGAGTGCAGCCAAAAGCAGAAGAAAGAAACGGAAAGCAGCAGCCCGGTGGCCGGGCCAGGCATGTGGGGCGAGTGGGCCAAATCATGTGGGGCAAGTGGCGCAAGTGGGGCAAGTTCCCGCCTCCACCTTTCCCCCCTCCCCTCACTACCTCATGTTGTTTGCAATGCAAGCGACACAAGCCTTGTGTTCCCGCGGGCCATGTGGGCGGCACAGCCTTGTGTTCCCACGCAGCCTGGATTAATTGCTTTGGGGGTGACATTTCTCTGCGGACCACCAGTGGTCCCCGGCCCACTGCTTGACAACCACTATCATAAGGGACCCATGGAGGGCAGAAGAGCCCATTAAGCCTCCCTTGGGGAAACATCGGCCGCACAAAGCGTAAAATAGAACCTGCATTCTTTCTTCTGCTTTCTGCTAGCATTCAAAGAACTTGTGTTGTGTTAATAATCACCTCCTAAATTGTGTGAGGACAGGACAAACATCCGTATCCTGACAGTGAGAACAATTAACCAGTGGAATGGCTGCAGACGTGGGTGCTCCATCACTGGAGGTTTTCAAAAAGAGATTGGACAGCCACTTGTCTGAAATGGTAGAGGGTCTCCTGCTTAAGCAGGGGGTTAGACTAGAAGACCTCCAAGGTCCCTTCCAACTCTCTTATTCTGTTATTCTGCAGTACACCGGAGCATCATTTTACGGTATCTCCATGCAAAGGACTTTGCATGCAAAAGACCTCACTTCTGGAATGACATCATCAACTTCATCTTGCATAATGGACGCCCCCTTCCCCAAGCTATTTTATCGATCACAGGTTTCACTATAGTCGTTGGATAATGACAATATTTGTCTTAAAATATCAGTTGTGGTAAGTGAAGGAGGGGAGAGAGGAGAGGAGAGGAGAGGAGAGGAGAGGGAAGGGAAGATAGAATAAGGAAAGGAAAGATAAAAGAAGGAGAGGAGAGGAAGGGAGAGAAAGGAAGGGAAGGAATAGGAATAGGAATAGGAATAGGAATAGGAATAGGAATAAGAATAGAATAGAATAGAATAGAATAGAATAGAATAGAATAGAATAGAATAGAATAGAATAGAATAGAATAGAATAGGGCAGGGGAGGAGAGGAGAGGAGCTAAATTAATGGCATCAATATTTCCTCCTCAGTACGGGTAGTCCTCGACTTACAACAGTTCATTTAGTGACCATTTGAAGTTACAACAGCACTGTAAAAAGTGACATGATCATTTTTCACACTTAGGTGATCAACTTTCATCTGCTTGGCAACCGACTCATATTTATGACAGTCGTAGTTTCCTGGGGGTGGGGGGGGGGGGTCATGTGATCCCTTTTTGCAACCTTTTGACCAGCCAAGTCAATGAGGGAAACCAGATTCACTTAACGACTGTGTTCCTAACTTAACCCCTTCTAGTAAGAAAGGCCGCAAAACGGGGCACCAGTCACTTAATAAACATCTTATTTGGGAAACAGAAATTTTGGGCTCAATTGAGGTCGTAAGTCAAGGACTACCCATAGCGGGAATTTATTTAGCTGGAAGAACAAATATTTGACAAGCGTTCCACTAACCTGGTTTGAGAGTTGGAAGTGTGCAGTTCTCTCTTGAACACGTTTCCACCATCATTGTTAAGCTTGTCGTAGAGTCGGTGCCACTGTCTGATACGTCAACAACAACCACAACAGCATGGAAAAAAACCATAAAGTCGAAGCAAATAAATTCAACCACACCTCTTTCATCATCATCATCTTCCTTTAATGACCTCATGATCCCTTGTAGGGTGGAGTCTGGGCAACTGAACGGAGCTAGCAGAGTGTTTTACTGGCCGGATGCCATTCCTGTTGCCGATACGGAGTTTTGTTCGGCAGATATATTTTCAGTGTACCCAGAGAGAGAACTATCTGCCTCTACCTAGGATTGAACTCACAGATTCCTGATTGTAAGGCGAGAACTCTATCTCCAGGCCACCACGCTAGTGGTGGGATTCAAATTTTTTTACTACCGGTTCTGTGGGTGTGGCTTGATGGGCGTGGCAGGGGTAGGATACTGTAAAATCTCCAGCCAGAGGTGGTACTTGCCGGTTCTCCGAACTACTCAAAATTTCCACAACCGTTTCTCCAGAACTGGTCAGAACCTGCTGATTACCACATCTGCACGTCTGAATACCACATCTTTCAACCACATCTCTTTGCTAACCATTAAATTATGCGCCCTCATTTCTCAGGCTTCATCATGAATTTTTTTTAAAAAACACCAATAAATGGGGTGATATAAGGAATCAATTCTCTAAATTTAATGTAACTCTTAGACTGGGTGCCCCTAATCTTTTTTTTTTTTTTTTTTTTTTTGTATGGCCTTCAAAATGGTGAAAAATTGGAAGTTTTGTGCATAATTCAGATTGCTATTCGGATAAGCAGCCCAGAGTCGCTTGATACTAAGATAATGGGCAAATAAATTTAACAAATAAATAAATAATCAACATTCTACTGAAGCACAAAGCTGTGATCGAAATAAAAATACCGGTGTTTCGTATTTACATTGTATCATGGGCCTTTCATTGCAGCATCTGCTTCAATAACAGAACTCGCATCAAATCACTTTATCTCCTTAAGGGGAAAAAAATTATTCGGAGCTTCAAACTGTCAAATATTAGAATAATATCCGTTTATTTAAAGCATGGCATTACTTTGACAAGAAGGACATTGTGTTCGATGGCTGCTGTTCTGGATTTGGAATATTTAAAACGTTTCCAAGGTCAAAAATGCGATTTGAGGCTCATTCACTGCAGAGTGGAATAAAATATTATGTTCCCTTTTCCAAAGCAAATAGGAAGATGTGCCTCAGGATTATTGCATGAAACATCTCTTTGGCGGTGAGCATTATACAGGATTTATCTCGGTTGCAGTGAAGGGTTTGTAGGACTTAATATGACAAAACGATAAGCTTGAAATAGTCATGAAACATTCTAATGTTGCGGTACGTCGGCAGCCTGCGGAGCTGGCAGTAGAGTTGGACAGTGGGGAGGAACATGGGCCAGTCTGGGAGTCTGGGGAGGACTTGAACGAGGGTCCTGCATCTGATACAGAGATGGGGCCAAGGCCATCTGGGAATTATGTGCTGACTCCGGAGCCTCCAGAATCTGGCAGCACCAAGGCAGAGAAAAAAGGGAGCCTGTTCCCAGTGTGCGTATGTGCAGAACTGCCAGAAGGCAAGAACAATTAAGACAAAAGGGGCGACTCAGGAGTAAGGCTTGGAGGTGATTGGCCCTCTCATAAGACATAAAGGAGGAGCAAAGGGAAAGGAATCTTTGCAGGAAGCAACGTTGTTCGTACTGGTCGGTTTGAAACCTGAAGCTCGGTGTTGAATTTGTGTTCCGTTTTGGCCTTGTATAGCTAATTTGACATTCAGTCTTTGGCAGCATTTCAAGGAAGATAAAGGTGCGTGCTTATCAGACTTATCCTGAAGAGCTTTGGCAGACTTCCATGAGACTGTTTGCAAACTGTTTGAGACTCATTACGGGCTGTGAATGACTAAAATTCACAGCCATTGAAATAAAGAAAAAAGGGTTTTGGGACTAACATGTGTTTGTTAGTGTCTCCATAAGCCTTGGTCAGAACAGGTAACAATTCCATTGCTGTTTCCAGGCCAGCCCCATGGGCCTTAAGTTTGACACCCCTGTGCTAGGAGCTGTATGTCAGGATTCCGGCAGTCACCCCATTTAAATCATGAGTCTCAAGCCAAACTTCCAAAACTTCAAAAGGATTTATTGGGAGTTAACATGTCTGGCACCGCCTGGGTGTAGCCAACGCTGAAGCACATCATTTATTGTCACCCTTGACCCTGGTTTTCTCCCTACCTCCTGGGTGTATCGTCATTCATATTCTCCAATGGGACATGTCCATAGCCCAGAGTCATCAATCATGCTCTCCAGTTAGAATTTTGCGTGGCAGAAACTTGTCACCTAGTTACTATCTTTGAAAAACTATTTATGGAATGCACTTTTGGTTTCCAAGCTGCCGCACTGCTCTTTCAAACCCCTTTCCCTCCCCCCTTTCTGTTGGCAACTCTAAAAAGACCATAGAAATATTTTATGAGTTGACACCGTACCTGTAAGGGATGTTCTATTTTTCAACCTTTCCACGTCCATTATGAAGTCATCCTTCAGAAACAAGAAGCCAACAATGGAGAAGAGATAGACCAGGATGAGAGCTAGGACCGCCGTCAGAATAATGGACCTCCCGTTCCGTGTGACGCTTTTGATGACATTCAACAAAGTCTCCTCTCGGTACACCAGGTCAAATAACTGGAGAAGAGAATCAAGAAACAAGAAGGAAGGTGGTTCATCTTATAAATCACATGCACAAAAAGACCACTTCACAAATGCAAGGCACAACATAGGACAGGAGGAGTCTTCAAACTTGACAGCTTATAAGACTTGTGGACTTCCAACTCCCAGAATTCCTCCTCCAGTCATGTTAGTTCAGGAATTCTGGGAGCTGAAGTCCATAAAGTCTTAAACTTGCCAAGTTTGAAGACCCCTCGACATAGGAGAACAAATCCATGAGGACTAGATTCAGCAGTCCATCTGCCTTTGAAAGACAAAGACCACTCTTTTGAAGACAATAAAGTCCACATTTGGGACAGCTGGTTTGAAAGAGGGTCAAAGAGGCCATCTATGTCCAAATTGAACGGCCTTCTCTCAACAGAGAGTAGGACATCATCAATCTCCAGTATACAACATAGTACTTTCAGAAGTTCCAAGAAGGCTCCACACCCATTTGCACCACTCAGGTGACCCTGAGGACACAGGTAAACCTCCAGGTGGCATCAACGATTCCCAGAAAGAGTACTAATGACCAGATGACTGCAAGAAATATAAATCCTTCCATTCCCCACCATCCAGCCAGAGCTGAAGAAGGTTCTTGGATGAGAAGCGAAACGTCTTCAAAGAAAAACCAGAAAAATCCAGTTGTCTCCTGAAAAAGCACCTTTGGGACAACCCTGGCCTGGATGACTGAGAATCTCCACAGGCATTTAAATCACACAGGAGATTTTTAAGAAGGGACTGGAAATTCATTTGTCTGAAATGGGATAGTTGTTGTGACCCGTCATCCGTTGGCTCCTTCAGCAGCCGAATCAGAGGAGGAGGAGGTGTGGGAGTCAGGGTCAGCATCAAGGCAACCTGAGAACTCCGAGGGGGAATAAGGAATGGAGCTGGCAGAGAGAGAGAGGGAAGGGGAGAGCGAGAGAGGTGCTCTGTCAGCCCTCAGATGGAGAGTCAACAGCCCCCAGGTCTGGAGTGGCTGATGAGGAAGAATAGCTGGGTCCAGTGCCTGATGTGTAAATGCACAGAAGGCAGAGGAGAGGAGAGCAGTGGAAATCTATAGGCCGGTCCTTGGGACGGAAGAGCCAACGCTGCTAGCAAAGCCCCACCTGAGCTCTGGGGATAAAAGGCAGGGGACAGAGATGGGTAGGTGTGGCAGACAACTATTCATCTTCTGGCCGGACAGACTTGTTAGTCTGTGGTGAGAGGGAAACTTTTTGCCAGAGGTGCCAGCACTCTTTGGGTTAACTTCAGAGGATTTGTCATGTTAGGGGAGCTGGGTCAGAACATAGAGTCTCCTGCTTGAGCAGGGGGTTGGGCTAGAAGACCTCCAAGGTCCCTTCCAGTTCTATTCTGATTGATTGATTGAAAAGTTGTATGGCATTATGTCATAAACATGGCATTTTCAACGCCACAAAATGTTCTACAAAATTTGCCAGATTTCAATTCCACAAAGCTTCTTAAAGAGCTTTACCCAAATTCCCAATAAAGGGCCCTTTATTAATAATACCGGTGAGGTTGAGCCTCTGAACACTTACCAAGATGAAGGCCATAATTCTGCCTGCGAATATATTACAGCGATTTCCTTGCCAGAAACCCAAGCTTCCCTGCTCTTTGTCTAATGAAGGTGGCCAGATATGGAGCAGGAAGCGTGATCTTAACACGAACCCATCCTTTTCATGAGGCAGAAGCTGAAAAGCTACAGAGGGGGTCCTTGACATATAACATTTCAATCAATCAATCAGAATAGAGCTGGAAGGGACCTTGGAGGTCTTCCAGTCCAGCCCCCTGCTCTAGCAGGAGAACCTATACCAGTTTAGACAAGGGACTGTCCAGTCTCCTCTTGAAAACCTCCAGTGATGTGGAAAGAAGGAAGGAAGGGAGGAAAAGGAAGGAAGGAAGGAAA